ACGGTGGAATGGTCGGATTTTGTCAACATCAATAAAATGCCATATAATCATATGTAACTCATTAAATATCGAAATTAGAAGAAGAGTGCACTATTTTTAATTATAGGAAATGCGTTTTTCTAAGATACATAAACTTTTCGGATTAACTGTATAGCCAATACATCCTTAATTTTGTAACCACGAGTAGACGTGTATCTCAGGCATAGATTTCATCCCGAGAATCGCCGCAATACTTTTAGAAAACTTTTACAGCTTTGCAATCTACCGAGTTCGAGTTATTATACCGAAGGGGGTTTATTACGATTTTCAAGAGCGAGAGAATTTATTTGAGGCAAGTTGGTGAGTTATGATATCGCAGGGTGAAGAACGCCTCGTTTAGAAACTATGAAGCATTCAGAAATTTGTTAATTTTGCACAACTCGAGAGCCCGACTTAACCGAGAAAAATGAGCCAGGCAAACTCTTGGAGGTGCGAAAAATAGTTAGAAGCCTTGACGAATTTATTTAAACGACACTTAATCGTTCCTCGAAAGCAACGTATCTGTACGATCGTACAAAGTTTTCCCATCAAACCGGCCGACTCGTTTCACATCGACGATATCTCACAAATAAACCAACGACCCTAATTGAATTTAGAAACACTCGCGTAACGAGTGCATTACTTCTCGTTTCGCCTCGTGTCACGACGAGGAGCCATCGCCGTTCGAGCCGAGAAGTTTTTAGAATTGAAGAGGAGCCATCGGGATTCTTGGGAGCATCCGAGCGAGCGCGTCTCTGATTGCGAGCCCCCGTACGCCTCGGGTCGCACGAACTCCTCGTTTCTTGCCGGTTACGATTACGAACGTTTCATTAGCTCCGTTCCCCGGGAAGCTCGGAACGATCAAACCTCTCTAATCAGGGGAATCTCTATTCTTCGCATACCGACGAACGTTCTCCGGGCCGCGCGTTACTCGGCCACCTCGGAGAGGCCGCGTCTTCATAACTGGGCAAAAAACGTCGTCGGAAAAACGATCAGATTCTAGATGGATAAAATCGTTGTTTAAATGTTAATCCGTGCATTTCTCCGGCCTGCAGAGTAGACGACGTGGGCCGGACGGTTTTCCTCGAACGAGAATTGCCGCCAGTTTGAGCGAACAGGCCGAAATGAGAGATGGGAGGCGAAACAGTGTCTCGGGGGACATCGAATTATACGTAGAGTCACCGGCACCGGTGAAATCGCGAGCGTTAAAACGCGGAAACTTTGCCAATTTGCTCGGACAATTCACGGAGGACGACGGCGGCGGCGGCGGCGTTCCTCTTCGAGACAAACCGCGACTTTGATTATACCGAATGTTGGAATGAAAAAACTTCCAGCGAGACGACCCATTATCTATCACTATAACACCGTAAATCCTCCGTACGAGTCGCTGAACGAAACCGGGACGACGTTCGTTTACTATAAACGAGAACAACGGGAAAGAAACGAGGCAACTGAACAAGAGGATAGAAAATGATTCCATAAATGAATAGAAATTGTATCGATGACCATCGCGAAGCCAACAAGAAACATGTCTACGACGTACACTTTTTGTTTCAGTTTAATGTTAAATTCAAACAGCCAAACGATTTACTGGAGATTGAAAATTTCCTTCATAAATTTTAAACATCTTGCGGATGAAATACATGGAAGAAATTCATATTAGAGAGGCTGGTTGCATCGAGCCCTCAAATTTTCCTGCTACCCGGTCGGGTGTGCCCATCTCTCAGCTCTAGGAATATTCCAGCCAGTATCAATAGACATCTAACCCCTTAGATCCATCAGCCGCATACGGCGGATACAGTCCATAGCTCCGGGTCTAATAACATAACTCAACGAAGACAGCATCGATTCCGAATATTTAGATAATCTGGCCGGGTAAGAAGAATCGATCGACCGCCGTGTATTTCCGACTCCGAGGATCGACTGGCGATCAGTCAGATTCGCCGGGATCAGGCCTCGAAGATAGAAACGCGAAGGGTGAAAATAAATCGGATCTGGAGAAACGGCATAAATCTATCACTGCAAATGCGATAAGCATCGTCGACGATCCTCCAAGAGTTATTTATTTGTTTCTCGTTAAAATCACCCGCTGCCACTTTCAATTTAACTGATATCGCGTAACAGTGACCGAGAGGGGGGGAGTGACTACTTGGACGGTTGAACGCGTTCGACGGGCGAACAATGGAGCAGCGTACAAAGAGACTTCCCTTTCGAATCGACGGAACAGCACGATTCGATGGAGACCAGCGGGCATGAATGAATTCCTTTCGAGTTCCCTGCCGGCGAGATAGTTCGCCCCGTTTCGATATCCGTTTCTTCAATCCGGTCGCGCCAACGCTACGTTCTACCACTGACAACCGGGACGGACGCCGCCGCGCCATCGTCACGTTGTACCACTGACAACCGAGACCAACTCGGGCCGCTATAGGATTCTTCGACAGTCGGAATCCGACGGACGTGCGATCCGAGAAGTCGAACGATCCGAAAGTGAAAGTCGATGAGAAATCGCGTACATTCAATAATAATAATATTTCATCTAATAATTCGGATATTAACCCTTTGCACTGGAGGTCTTTTGCGCTCAGGCGAACCAGCAACTCGAGACGATTTCGGCTATATTAGAGAAGAACTTTAGGGATACTTCAAATCATTTTATACCCAAAAGAACAAATGTGCCCATAATTATGAAAGTGGTCTAAGTCAAAATTTAATTTGATTATTATATATGATAATAAGATAATTAAAAATGAATTTATCACTTATTTCACGCGACAAAATCATGTCGTGTGAAATAAGTGATAAATTCATTTTTTTTTAATTTTGACTTAGACCACTTTTATAATTATGGGCACAAATAATAAAATTTTACCAATTTTTTCATTTTTTTTTAATACAACCAAATCTGTTAAATATTATAGTTTGCAATTAGTTTTCGTGCCGTTCGAGTACAAAGGGTTAACCCTTTCACTAAGGGGGGGAGGTTCTCCGCCGCGGTACTTCCGCTCAACGAAGAAACAAATGATGCAAAACAAAATACTATCAGTGCATGTCCAGAGTGAGATACTTAAAAACGGTTAGTCGGTATCAATACATCAATGGCATTTTTTGGCGGGCCACTATAGTGGCCCGTAGTAGCGAAAGGGTTAAGCTGCACGTCCGGGAGGTGTGACAAATTGTTCTGCACCGCAATCGGGAAACAGATAACCCGAGATGGATCAAGTACACGTTTCCACGGTCGCCATTGGCTGATAACGCGATAATGCCGAGCAGCACACCTTTCCAGGGCAGGAGGACTAGGTCGCGTGTAAACCGGGTTGCCGGTTTATTCCGACGACGACGCGACACGTCGCAGCCGTGATCGCATCGATCCAGCAATGTCACATTATCATTCGTACGCGATAATTCGTCGCCACGGCACGCTGTCGCACGGGACATTTAACGCACGTGACACTGCAACTCATTTCGCGAGGAGCTCCACCAATACGGTCAATGTCTTGCACGTGCAGTGCCGCGCGCGCGTGTTTCGTGATACCGCAAGATTAATCGGGAATTATTTCTGTGTAACCCCTGTTCAACCTCTGACCGTAATATTCCCGAGTTAATTCCACCTCGCCTTTGATAACCAGTCAATGAAATTGGTACGAACAATGGAAAGTAAAATATAACCGGTGCCGATAATTAAAGGAAAATGTGCGTTAAACGAATTCTGTTAATAACGGCACTGCGATCGATCACGCGAGACGATGCCTTATTATTTCGGTAGAAACGTTGGCGTACCGAACTCTGCCAGAGAACAGCTTTCTCGCTCTCATATACTTGCCTAAAGTTAATATGAACTTATAATTAGACGATAATACGTTCTCCGTTTACGCAGGATTCTGATAGAGTAGAACGGATGTATATTTAACGCAATTAGAAGACTCGAACAATTTCCAGCCAGGTTTCATTTGACGTTTAATTCTTGGAACTGCCAAGAACCGAAAGGTGTCAATTACAAGACGAATTAATATTGAATTTCCGAGGAAGATTCCACGGATACTTGATAGGCGACGTTCGGGGACGTCGTTCTACCGTCAGCAGCGATTCAATTCGATTTTCTTTCCCGTGAATCGACCGTTGATTGGCTGGTTGGGCAAGTTTTACTTGCTACTTCGTGCAAGCCGGACGCAATTCGATTTGCAACATTCCATTGATAGTCCACCGAGCTTTCGGCTTCCTGAATTCGATTCCCGCGACGTCTCGCCGTAGTTTCGGTCGAGTACCTTTTTCCCAAACACAGTCTCTTTCTACGACGGTGTCTGAAATTCGATTCGCGAATAAAAATAACCGCAGGAGGGAATAAGTGATTAGACGAGAGATCGAAGGCCGACTGTCTCAAGTGCGTCGAACTGAATCTCGTTTTCGTCGACCTCGCGGAGTCACTGACACCGCGAGGTCGACAGACACAGTAGTGCCTTCGACCTCACCACGCGTACAGACGTGCGAGCAATGCCACGAGATAAAAACCGATCAAATATTTAGCCGACCTTCTGTCGTTTAATAACTGTACGCCGATCACCTCTAAATTCGATGATTCACTCCGTTCGTACATTTCCGTAATTTACAAACGTCATTCGATTCCTAAACGAATAGACGATAAACTCTCGTTACCTCGTCGGTTGTGATAAGCTCGAACGGAAGCGAAGGAAAAGAATGAAACATACGGGTACGCAGACCACGCGGAGGGTCTGAACCGATCGCGGAGAAGAGCAGCTGGTTATCAGTTCCGCGTCCGTGGGGAACGGCCGCTACGGTCCCGAGCGAAACGAACTTGACCCGGTTAAAGACAGCTGTACGAATATTTCGTGACATTCCTCCTACCCGTCGGCCGCAGGTAGAACTCCGGATAGTCGGTGCGAAGGCCTCCTCCTGTGTCGCGACAGAGAGGAGGAGACACGCCGAACGTTTCGCTCCCACCGACGACGACGACGGCGAGCGAAACGGGCCGCGAGCGGCAAAGAGTGGGTCAAGTTCAGAGGAACGTGGATGGAGTAACAGTCGAGTGACTCTCGCTTTCATATTTACCCTGCCCTGGCGTACACCGGGGCACCGTCGTGTACACGACTGTATGCGCGTGACTACACAACGAATTCGACTGCGAGATGAAAGTTCGAAGGGTCAATTTCATAGGAAGAAATTTTACGATAATACATAAAAGTAAAAGTTAATGAACGCTGTTAAAAATATTGATGATCTTTGGAAGAATGAATCGTAATCAATTTTTAGTAACGATGAACAGATTATATTTGTTAATATCGCAGCGTCGTACACGCGCGATCAACAGCTTCCACGTGCCCGATTATCCTGACCACCTGTCATAGTGATTATTCGTAGGCACATAATCCGATTTCCGTTTGTCGGCGATAACAACGTCGTGGAGAACGTATGCGTGTCGGAAATGCGATTATCCGGGATAAACAGCTTTAAATTGAACGTGGTCATCGTGAACCTGAAGGCATGCGATGCCTCGTGCGCATCGAAAGAGAAGCTTGCGACGTACGCGATCGAGCAGATATGAATCTGCATCTAAAAGAGATATGGAAAAGACTCTATTTATGGCACGGAATTGGTAAATCGAAGGACGGTGGCCATTCATAAGTCTCAAGATCAACGTTCTACTACGTAACTCGATCATCCTTGACGCATGACAAAATCCATGGGCACTGGATCCGATGCGTATCTGAATCCCTCGTCCCTTGACCGAGCATTCGCCGAGAGGCATGGCGTATCAAGTGCGAAGGAATCAGCCTTGGGAATGACATCGGGGCCGGGGCATTATCATTGAGTTTCCGCCGCGACGGCGATCCTATCGATGGGCCACGGACCTCGGATGCTCGGCGATCGCTTAACGAGCAGAAGCGTGGTGGAAGGTGAGACAAGGTACGAGAGCGAACCGCGAGAAAGATGCAATCCGTAAACGGAGCCAAGTATAAAGAAGCCCCGGTAACGAGACTCTGCGACACTTTTTCATTGTTCACCGACCAGCAGCGATCACCGGAGAAGAGAGGGGCGAACATGGTTCCGCGCAACGTTTCCGTCGTTCTCGTTCCTCTCCTGTTGATCTTCATCCTGGCCCACCGTGCATCCAGCGAATACAACAATTGTGAGTAGTCTCGCACTCGGCCAAGTTCGATTTAAGGATGT